CCACAACCTTCGTGAATCGTAATGGAGAATACATAGTTTCTGTTGTTTCATATACGTAATTGACTGCACTCGTAATAGATGCGTTTGATTGTAATCTATTCGACTACCATGCTTGGGCACGTATCTACAAACATAGCGATATATTATTTACTAGGTCTTTAGTTTGTTTTAATTTTGTTTTTATGACAATAAAATAATATTTGTATTAGAGATCACTTTTCGTCATCGTTGATTTTTTAAAAGTAATAATTTTGCGGATAAATCCTGTAACAGATTCTAAGATCAAATGAATCAAAGTTTATAAACTACGACTCAGTAGTGAAGGTGCCCAAGATTTCGGTTGAAGAGAGTGTAATTACAGGGTATGAGGGAAAACATCATAGTTCTATAGAATGGTAACACGTGAGTGATATCACGGGCGTCACTTGATAACATGATTTCGTAGTACTGTTCATCATACCGGCGACTGACCAGTACCATTTACCAGCTAGCCCGTCAGCTTGTTTGTCATTCTAATTATAAAAAAAATAGTAGTAAGTAAGTAGTAACTTGCATTTATCGTATATAATTTGTAATAATTGTACAATATAAAGTGTGCACAATCTACAGATATATATATATAATATATCTATGATATACTATTATATATATTTAGATTTTTAATATGTATTCTATTGATAAAATATTGTTTATATATATCATGTTATAATAATATTTCATCCTTCTATAATAAAAGTACATGTACAATAAAATAAAGGAACTGGATTTTTTGTCATACGGATAATGCTAGTTCAGATCAAATGAATCAAAGGTTATAAACTACGACTCAGTATAAATACTGAAAGGATTGATATTGTCTGGAATGTGTACCTATTGTATAAATAATATTGTAACGATCTTCTGAATTTAATAAAGTATATAATTATTATTATTATTATATATTAGGTATAAAACAAAGACATCGCAGCGGTCTGTTCGCTTATATATTTTAAATTACACTATTTTATTTTAATGCAATTTTCAGCAATAGATAGATACATTCAAAATGAAGCTTTATATGTACAATACATGAAAGTTATGTATGTATAGAACAAGCCGAGACATTCAGAGATATCCGTGCGAAGACGGGACTCGTCGCTATCTAGTTATCTATAATTGTTTTTTTTACTCTTAGGTAAGCGAATAAGGTCTCAATTCGAATGAATTATTCAAATATATATATTTGGAATTATACGATTAAGGCGAATTTATCGAAGTGCTAGTTATAGTAAATGGCGTTGAACCCTTAGCCTTGTAAATCGAGAGTTGTAATACACTTGCCCCTATTAAGGTCAATGCTAGCCACTGCCTATCCCACAAATTGTTAAAACTGTAATTAATATACGTTAGAATAAGTTAAACTGTTATACCATACATTATATAAAGAAATAACTCAACTGACATATATGTTTAATAAAGTTTTGCAGGTTTTGCCAAATGGAAGAGGAAACGCTACTACACATCCTATGTTGGTTGTAGCCCACTCATACATAAACGAAATATAATCCTTTACTTGAATGACGAGCGTGCATGGCAATAGTTTTCATATTCGGGATTTTCATTTAATGTTAGACATAGACACCTATATAAATACCTATGCATTGTAAATAAACTGGCTTTTAAAAAAAAGTAATTCAATTGAGTTTCTTGCCAGTTCTTCTCAATTGGATCTATATACCGAACTGGACGGTAGGGAGAAAAAATTATAATGTAAAAACTTTGACGTTCATAAGCGGCTAAAATGTCCTACATGAATAAATGATTTTTGAATTTGAATTTGTAAAGTACACACTCTGTCCTTAGGAGATAAAAACCATCGCTTCTAAGAATATCCTTCAACTCCTCATCCCTGACTAGCCTAGGCAGCGAACCCTAAAAAATGGACGAGTACAATAGATCTATGCAGGTTGCAGTGCTTTAGGTCTCTTTAGCACAGAGAAATAGCCCAAACTTCTTAACAAAAAAATAAAAATATATACTTAAATATTGTAAACACTGTCGTACTAGTTAATTTTTTTTTATTAGTACCGAATAATGGTTGCATATTAGTCGAGATTTAAATAATTCATTTAAATTTTAAATTAGAACGTTATTAAGGTTCTATTATAACAACTATAAACAATATACCTTGACGGCTATTAACCGGAATGGGATGGTCATTGTCAATTCTTGATTTCGTGGTGAACGCAACTCTTGACATGTCCACATTTAGATAGGTATATTTTAATGCAACGTGGTAAAAGGCTAGCCTACCACCGTGTCTTGGATTAATTTTTAATTTTATTAATACTTAAAGGTTGAAACTGACTAAAAATAAAAACAACCCAAAAAAATTACCATTGAGTTTCTTATCAGTTCTTCTCAACTGAAGTAGTTAACTGAATTTGATGATAGGGATAGTGATAAGAAATAAGTCGAGCATAATAGGCCGAAAGGTATGTTAAATAATTATTGTTAGTAGGAGTTTGAGTTTGTTATCTGTGTTTCCTTCGCCAGAAAGTCAGGGGAAATATAAATTAACATACAATTTTGTATTTGTAATTGTATTGTATGTGCGCTATGTTAGTAAGTATTTTTTTATTCACTCGTTATGTTAATAACTCAAAGTAATTACTCTAATTATTTTTTTATTATTCTACGATGCAGTTATAATACAACAAGGATATTATTTATATTTACAACAACACTACATAGTAATATTTAAAATCTGTATAATACATAGTTGTGTATATTGGCAGTTTTCCATAAGACGACATTTATTCATATTATCTCGGTGGTCTAGTGGTTTAGCACACAGCTTTATTTTCCATGGTCGCGGGTTCGATCCGTATATAACACAAATTTAGACTTTTTATTATATTTATTTGTATTAGTCCTATGTAACTATTTTATATAGAATATATGTTATTTGTTTTTGATGTTTTTCTTCGAACTATAGGTATGGAATAATGCATAACACACGATTACTATGAAGATAACGTCAGGTCTTAGTCCATAATGGTAAATTCAATAAGAATTAACCATGGTGGTATCTAGGGGTTACTAGTTCCCATTACTGCCAATATATATATATATATATATATATATACTTATATATATATATATATATATACTTGCTGTATAACTAAGAATAAATAATAATCTGATTTATTCTGTTCAATCATCATATGTGAAGTTTATTTAAATAAAGTTTATATTTGATAAATAGATACAGAAAGGGTAAATCACTGATTTTCTACCATAATCAATAAGAAGTCAGTTGTGGAATTCCCATATTAAAATTATGTTATATTGTATAAATGTAAATATTAGTACAAAGATATCTGGGACCTTCCGAGGACATTATGCGTGTTAGATGTTGTAATTACATCACTTTAGGTTTAGCCTATTAGATAAGTATTGGAACAGGTTTAAACTGGACCCTTGCAACAGGTGTAGAATGCGGAAGAGATGCGAAAGGATATTTATTGCATTAGCGAGCTAATGTCTATGGGCACTAGTTAGAAGTAGGCGGGTTAATTGCGAAACTGGGTATGGTGAAATTAGGAGATACTGTCCAGAACGCGTAATATTATATATACCTATGTACGCTACGTTACTTAGAATAAAATAATTCAAAATATTAGATTGTATTCTGACCGGCTCAGTGGTTTCGTGTGTTAGTATACCGTCTTACTACCGATGGTCAGGGGTTGTATTCTTCGCACTGTACAAACATTAGTATTCATAAGTAGGTTTGTTTGTATCTGGATGTTTTCTATGTATAATATGTATGACGGTATTGTATCAAAATGTGTTTAAGTCATTCTATCCGTTGTATAGTACCCATAAAAAATGCTCTGCTTAGCTTGGGAGTACATGGCGCTGTGCGAATTGTCCAAGTTATTATTATAAAGAGATATCTTGGGGTGAATGTCATACTAGAAGAAGAAAAAAAGAGTTTTATTTAAAAGTCCTTAGTGTAGGACCCTACAGATATGTCGTATTTATTATGAAATTATTAATTATTTTATAATTAAAACAACTCTACTCCTTGTGTTATTGTATGTTATAATATTGTAAACCAAATTGTATAAATATCTCACTTTACAGAATTTCTAACTAATCTCCTTTTTCCTTGATTTGTTTTAAATAACTCAATGTATTTAAAAAAAAAAGTTTGTTCATGTAAACATTTATTAATTTTCTTTAAAAAAGAACCTATATCAGTCATGACAATATTAGACATAGAATGATAGAGATTCCAGTAGAGTGAACGATTTTGTTTATGAATCATAGAAATCAGTCAGTATTGGCATATGATATTGATATACGGCCCATTAAACAAATGGGTTATGAATATAATCCACGGCTAATAATTTCTTATGAGAACTTGTATTGTGTTTATTTATTATGTTTTCTATGAGCATTTTTGTTCGTAGATTTTAGTTTTTGAACTTTATGTCTATTCAGTTAATACAGCGTCCTGCTACGTCCTACTAAAACGTTAATTGACTCATTTCCTCGTGTGTGCAAGCCTTTATAACAACAACCGGTGTTGTTTTAAGATAACAAAGCAAAGACTTTGCGCACAATCTAAAAAAACGCGGTAAACTAAAAGGATCCACTAGTTAACTTTAGGCATGTAATATTATTTTATCTGTGCTTTAAGTGAACACAAATATATCTAAATAGTACAAATATATACACAAAATTTATGGTAATTATTTTTTATGGAAATAAATTTTAAATAATCTTTATACTTAGGTAAATAAATTGAAATTTGTAAGTACAAATTGAGCTAGAAAGTTAAATTTGTCAGTTCAATATATGCTCAATATAGGTACTACTTAGAATCTACTACCTACTTAGACTAACACTTATTTAACAGTATCAAATACATATAATAAATATCAATAAATGTTTTCTTTATTCATAAAACTATTCTACCAAATAGGTTCGTTAACTCAGATTGTACAAACCTCGTCAAATCCTTCAGCTATCATGCGTATTCCAAATTAGATCGATTTGCCAAAGTTACACACTGACTAATATGATTTGAACAATTTTGCTGTAAATTGTCATTTTTATTTTGGTTCTTTCTAGAAAAATATCAATTACAACACTACTGCACAATAAACAACACAGTCATTAAAAAATAATTGAAGCGTAGGCAACAATTTTTACAAGTTCGGAATTTAAATATTTGGCGGTAAAAGGCGCAACTCCGCAATGGCGTTCGTTCGAAAACGCGACCGGTTTACGAATGGTTGCAGCGCAACATTTTCTTTTCAATGGCCATCACCAGCTCACCTTGATTTTCTTAATCATGATCAGTAAACTTTTGAGTTAGTTAGACTAGATAGAACAAGTCGCACTATTTCTGACTTGTGAGAAAAGACCTAAAAACTAAATTAAAAGAACTAGAAGAGTTTCGATTGCAAAAAAACAATCACTTCACCCTGGCTTAGAATTTTCCAAAAAAACACTCCTTTCTTACTTGTATAAATAAGACTAATGGCCAGTATCGACTTCGTCCCTGTTAGCTATCTTTATTTATTCTACTTTTTTGAGATAAAGATAAACAGTCCTCACAATACAACAAGTATTTAAATCATTAACACTCGTTCAGCGTTTTAGTTACAAACACAACACCCTTACTTACATCTCTGTCCATTGATCATTAAGGTATCAATATATATATTTATATATACCAGACCAATATACACAATCATTCTCATGAATTCAAAAGTTTGTACTTTGCGAGAACTAGCTAGTTAGCTAAATTGCTAGATCACCGATGCTATGGTCACTGGTCATCTTTAGACAGACCTTTTGGTCACATCGGTGGTTATTCTCATCGCATCTAATTGCCCCATCAGCATAGATGGGAGCAGAATTCCAACACTATCGACAAATTAAATACCATACCTGTGGAGCAGACCTTTGTTCAGTGGCGGCAAACTAATCACCGGAATATTGTTTGTGCATAAAGACAATAGTAATTACTATTTGTTTATCGCTTAGCTCGCACAAATTATTTAAATTGTGATAAACTTCAATTTCATACCAACATCGGCAAGAAATATCTCGTATTTTCATTTAAAATATAGTGTATACAAATAAAGATACTTGAAGTGTCTGATAGTAATTTCTATTAAACAACTTTTTAACTAAACGCATATTTAAAATATATATATACGGTACCTATGTACATCATGCAATGAAAATTAATAATTTCTAGATAGATATAACAAGTATCATTGCTAGCAAAGTGTTAAGTGTTATCTCTAGTCTACCTCCATGCGATCCCGTCTCGACACCATAGTAGCATTATTTTTATTTTGGAGGCATTTGTGTTACTGTCTGGTGCTAAGACCTGTAGCACTGCGACCTGCATAGATTTTACGCATGCCTCTTTTCAAAGTTATCTAGACCCGTCAGGGACAGGGATAGAAGATTATTCCTACGAGCGATGGTTTTTATCTCCTCAGGATAGATAGTATACTTTCCATATGAGATATTTCTTTTATACTTGAGTGGGTTACAAATACATGGGATGTTTAGTAGTTCCTTTTCAGCTTGGCAATTTGTAGATTTTCTTGAGGACAAGCCTAAGTTGGCAACGTCTTTATTTAATTTACAGCGCCCACTAAGGGCAATATATGCATTATGACTAGCATGATGCATATATTGTTTTTATGCAATAGCAATTAGGATATACTCCATATATTCCGCATTCTACATCATCTCCAATATTGGAAACGTCTGTCAACGAAACTAGGGCTTGCTATAAGTGAGTCATAGTCAATATAGTGGTTAGTTCCTGGTTACCATGCTCGTCGTATCGCCCTCCATTTTCTTCAACGTATATCATTATAGCAGGTGGGTGCACTATTCTATTATCTACAATATGTGTAAACGAATCAACGAAGCGTACACTTCAGGCGTGTTGCTAAAGCCAGAGAGTTCATGCGTGGCTGCATAAATTATTGACTACACTTAATTATTTCACGATTACTGTAACCACAATTCCGTTTGACGTTGTTTTTATTACAGTAAATATGCGTCACAATAGCGTGACAGACAACAGCATTTGTCACTGTAGTCGACAGGGTTGAACAGGGTCAATATTTTAATGACGGTGTTATATTTATACCCTTTAGATAATAAACAAGTAAATGACTACGAGCGATTAAGACGTATATATATACTATATAAATAGTATAGTAATCTTTGTAAAGTCTAAGTCGTAGGTATCTCAGTCTCACCTATTTTAACCGCTAGGCTGTCCTTTCTGAGCTGTGTTTCGGTTGGGTGAGATTAGGCAGCGAAATTACAGGATAAGTCATGGCTGACATCTTAGTCCTCAAGAATGGCAACGCATGAGTGGCATAACGTTCGTCACATGATAACGTGATGTCCCTAGCGCTGTTCATGTGTATAAGCGACAGTTACTTTACCACTTACCATCAGTGGGCTGTTAGCTTCCGTGTCGTTTCAATAACATAAATAATGCATCATTGATCTTATATATGGATTCCAGGAGGCGCCGGGTGGAGATCAACCTGACCTGGTACACATCTAGGGCCACTTGTCTCTTCTAAACCTTCTATTAATTGATAGTGTGAAATTTGGTTCAAGTTAGGATTAAAAAAAAACAAAAAGATACGAGTTGAATACTTTTTATTAATTGCATCACACGATAACGCGTGGCAGAGTCCAGCAAGTCAATGCAAGAAATAAATTATAAAGGTATAAAAAATCGTTTTAATCACTTTCTGTTGTAATACCAATTATTGTGCCATAGACAATGTAGGTACCTACATACTACAATACGCTGTAGAAATACAACTATTCACACAAATTATCGTGTATATACAATTAGATACACTGGGTAGGTTTCTAATGATTGCATGTCATAATGTACAATTACAAGATCTTGGTGCATGACGACTTTTCTTTGTTGGGTCACGAGGGTTTCCATAGACAATGTTGATATAATAATATTTTTTTATTTAGTTTTTTTATGTATTATAACTTGAATATCAGGTTAACTTCAACGCGGTTCCCTCTGGAAACCATCGAGGTAAATTCCTGGCGAATTTCTCCAGATAGGCTAACAGACCTGACTTTATCTCATTTCATCTTTATTTCATCTTATCATTCTCCACTGGTGCCCCACCAGCGAAAACCGTTAGCGTAGGGGTGTGCAACATACCACTATCGTCTATTTAAATATATTTAGAAGACATCCAGACCAATACAAACAATGATACTCATGAATACAAACAAATGTGCGACGAATTGAACCCGCGATCATCAGAAGGCTATCAATATCTATGTAGTTAGTATATATATATATTAGTAGTAGATAGATAGATAGACATCTATCGTAGTTGTCTGTCTATCTAACTAATGCGAATTAAGAAGGCAATTGTTAGTAGACTAATAACTCCTTTGCTAGCAATGTACGTCAGGAAGACCAGCATGTGTTTCCAATTCGAAACCAATATCATAAATTCCTGGTGAATTTGCCAGAATAGGCTAACTGGTGCCCTACCAACGTAAATCGTTAACGCAGTCGGGTGACCCTTCCATTATCATCAATATAAAAAAATATGCCAATTCACAATTAACAGAACTCACACATTAAATATATTTAAAGCCAGTAGCTGTAGTAATTTTAAAATGAATCTTGACCTCAATGTGTAGGACAAACACTAATTAAGCTTAATATTTGATCGGATGTTAGCATTTGGCTGACCTGGCGCGTAAACAAGGCGGGTATTCCTTGTAAATGTAATTCTTATGTCTTCGCACTTAAGCGATAAGGTCAGACGTTGTCCTCTGATTTTGAGGGTTAAGTAAATAATACTTGTTTTTGTTTAGTATTAGCTCTGTTTTGGCGACGGTTGTTTTGACATTTTTGTTTTAATTGTCCAGCTATTATAATCAGCATGTCAGTAGATCAGTAGGACGGCGCGGGCGGGTTCCTTATTGCGCAGAGTAACTAACGATTATATGCCTCTTGAATTTCCGAACCACTGAGACCCGCTTGGCGGAAGCCGGTGGAAATGTGCAATCGTTGGTGGTGTTAAGGACATGGGCGTACACAGCAGTCTAAAATATTATTTAACTAGCAAACTAAAACCCCGATTAAAATTTTTATACAAAGTAATTACACCCTATATCACCCAGGTTTAGTTAGGTATCTTAAAGGTCAGAGCCAGGGTCCCACTCTGCCCCACCATGGTTACGCTCGTGGCGAAGGATGCCGTCAGAGATCTCTTTTCCCCTCGTATTCTCAGGTACCGTCTCGTTGTCAATTAGATCATGGCGCGGTTTTTAAAATGTATTGAATGTGCGAATTTTGCATGTAGAAAAAAATGTATTTAAGTTTTGTATCCATAACACAAGCTCAGTTCGGCTCAGCTGAGAGTAGATGGCGCTGTGTATTATTCAAATTCAAAATATTATTATTATTATCATAGACGTCGCATTAAAAATCATGTAAAGAAAGTCAGTAGATCACGTTTAATACCATAGTTTGGAAATATTTTTTACACAATACATAAAGGAATTAAAATTAGGTTGATTATAAATATAACAATATGAATGTAATTTGAACAATGAAGAAACAATTTTATTCATGATTTCATACTGAAAGAGATTCTATAAACATAAAATGTTTTTTTTTAATTATCACCATTTTGTTTTATTCTAATGAGTACCATTAGATTAATAACTTCACATGTATTATTGGATTTATTTATACATGATCATGATTTAATAAGCGATACAGTGACGGAGTTGGTGGTATAGCGATTTACCATACCAGCTACCGACGGTTGTTAGCTGGATTTGAATTTTACTTTTGTTATTATGTACATTTTAGTCTGTGTGTTTTCTATATGTATTAAAAAAGCAAGTAGTAATTATCAGTTATCTAGTACCCATAACACAAGCTCTGCTTAGCTTGGGACTAGATGGCGCTGTGTGAATATCTAGTATTGTTATTAAAATAACAATTCTTGTCTTATGCAGGTAATTTATAAAATTTTACTCAGCTAACAAATAAAAACTGTTATATAATTTAATGAATTTTGAAAAAATCGAATTTTTTTTTTTTGGATTTTTCGAAAGTATACATATTTAAAAGTATCATACTGAAAATTTATAAAGATCCGAGCAGTCTAACTGTACTTTTGGACGATGTTTACGTAGCTACCTGAGCGCGCTAATATGCGGACCGCTCGGAGCGGTACGGCCTTTAGATAACGTTCCATTAGAATTTCTCCCTATATTAGTCGTATTGAAAAATTATCGTAGTATCTGTGTCGTGATTAAAAAATGGACAAGAAAAGTGTTAATCAAACTTTAAGTGGAGACGTCCAGTTTGGAAAAAAAAATTTTTTACACTTACATGAAAGGCAAATACAAGTTATGCTAGTGCATCTGCGTATAAATATAACAATATGAAGATGTTTTGACGTACATGGATCAAACGTCGGGATAATTTTAGTTTTTCCTGGTTTTCTCTACGTTGCAAGAGATTTAAAGTGTAAAACTTGTGATAAAGATATTTCTTTTACAAAGTATGGACAGCGAGAAGTTTTAAAACCGATCTACGACGATTTCACAAAACAAGAACTGCTTGAAAGATGCCTCGGTGGCAACACGCAGAATAATAACGAATCTTTCAACAACTGTGTATTATCTTTTGCGGAAAAAAAAATTGTTATACTTGTCAAACAGCTGCTTGTATTTTTAACGAAATTTCATCCGTATTAAAAATCTTGGAAGTAATGGGCGTCAAAATCGGCCCGATCGGCACAGTTTGCTGCTGACTGTGACAGAACGCGCAGTTGCAAACCGCCGCAGCACCGATGTCTCTAAGGAAGCCAGAACGAAACGAAGTTAGCTATTTTGGATGAAAATGTGCACTATGAAGAAGATGAAGGCATAATGTATGGTGCAGACATCGCTGATTAGACGTAAGTAAGATTTTTTCACGATTTTTCGTTACAGAAAACTTTAAACGTGTTTTCTCGGAATGATGTTTTTGGACGGCTTGTTGATAAAATCTCCGAAACTATTCAACCGAACCTTACCAAATTTAACCACATGTTCTTGATGACTATAGCTATAGCGTATATCATACGATTTTTGAAATTTTGAGTTTAACTATTTATTTTTGGCAAAGAACGACGAAAAAAACGTGATTTTTCGTACTTTTTCGAAAAATAGCTGCCATTTTGTCATTTTTTTAAAAAAAAAAAATCGTATGATATGCGCTATAGCCATTTACTTACTGAATCTAAAACTATTATTTTTTTTTTTTTTTTTTTTTTTTTCAGGTCATCCATTAATATTTCACAGCGCACACTCATCTTTTTTTTTGGACCAGTCTTCTCCCTCATTTTTATGTATAAAAACTAATTAAAATAAATATAAAAAAAAATTCTTGTGTAATCAAATAGTGTATCTTTTAGGCCTAACACTTTTTATGTCCATATTTATGACGTATACCGGTCAAAAAAATTCGTGAAAATAGCCTTATCTTTAATACCCCTTAACAGTTTGTTATTGTATGATTATAAATTTACTACCAAGTAGAATTGATTGTAACACTGGCAGTATGTGAATTTTATATAATAAATGGACCAACCATTTAGTTTAAATATTAACATGAATTTACATATTCCAAATTAGTTAACCATATCTACAAATTAATGTATCTTCCACACCGTTAGCAATAAAAAAAAATTATATTCTATTACATTATGCCAAAATTACATTATTGTAACACTTTATGTAACAGTAATATAATTAAGGTACTTATATAGGGATTACTTACTGGCTGAAGACTAGTCTTTAAATATCTGACAGGAATTGCAAAGTGGTAGATACAAAAGTATTTTAATGTATATAAGAATTCAGAATTTGAGACACTTAAATCTATACCCATGTCTCAAGTCTTGAATTTTAGTCTACCATGAGATGTATAAGATTGCTGAATGACCTGGTGAATTCATGGTACGCTAAAAAGTTTGTTTTATATTGCAATTAATTACATATGCCTTTTTATACAGTACAAATGTATTATAGCATTCCAATTATTATTATAGGAATGGATAGACTATGTGAAGGTACATTTAAAATTATCATAACCATAAAAAAAATGTTGCATGTCGCTACAATATCTTACATGAATAAATGTTTTTTAAAGTGACAAAAATGTGATTCTTTGTACATACAGTTCTTAATTCTACTTAATTATACAAGATGTTACTAAATTATCTGCATTTTCTTCTACTTTGTAATGTACAACAATACAGTTAATACTATGCATTGAATGTTAAGACATTACAATCTTGTTGAAAATTGAAGTTTGTAATTTTTTCTGTGAAAAATATTTATTAATATGAAGAATTTTACTGCAAATTTGCTATTGAATATTATCTATAGTTAATACTATGCATATTGCATGATACATTATGATAATAATGGAATTAGGAGTCTAATTTATTCACAGAAAAAAATATACAATAAATATATAATATTATTGTAAATTAGCCAACAAAAAACCACTGTTACTACTTAGTGTATGTATGCTTTGATAGGTACTGTAAGAGTAATCCATTTTCATACATTGAATATTTTTGGAATGAAGTTATTTTTTTTTATTTTAATGACCAAGACTTTAAATTTATTATCATTATCATAATATAAATAACTTATATGTTCAATAGCAAGGAATGAATAACACTATGCTCTAAGAGTATGATTGTCAGCCATGTGGATTATATTTACAAAAAATGTCATTACTCTAGTATAGCTTGGGACTAGATGGCATTGATTGGTTCTCAATTTTGATTTATTATTTATTTATTCTTTTACACACAAAATTATACACATGGCAGACGTAATGTCTGATGGCATTCTCTACCAGTCAACTGTCCGCTGATCAGAGACATTATAGCAGATAATTTGGTTACACCTTATGCCTATTTATATAAAACTAAAATTACAATTATATTTTTCAGTCTGCATTATTATCACTGCTGCTTTCCTCTGTACTGTCTTCTTCACTTGATTCTTCTTCGCTGGACTCATCGTCGGAGCGGTTATTTTTAGCGGCTTTCCTTGCCATGATTTCCTTGAACTGCCGCACTGTAATTTTTTTTGGCATAATCTCACGGAGAAAGTCTAAGGTGTCATCATCTTGAACAATTTCGGCTATGTGTTTGTACTCTAGTAAATTTCCTTTTGTTTTTTGGTGCGCCCTTTTGGCTAGATCTGTGACAAATAATTCCTGAAAAAAAATAATTGAGTCTTTTTAATGAGATTTAATATCGGAGCAGAATTTCAATAGTAGTTTCAGTTCAGTTTGTGGGAAAGAAATTAATTAATTGCATAAGTGTAATTAATATAATTAAGACTGTATGTTACATTTTATTTTAATATAAGAAATGATCTGACCTACTATAACCAACTTTCAACAGATTAACTATATTATATAGTATAAAATAAAGTTGCTGTCGATTCAAGTACCCCTACTTGGACCACTTGATGAGAGAGGAGTGTTAGTAATATGGACTATACACCCCCATCACTAGCAATGTACCATGTGAGGCAACTATTATGACAAATTCCTGAAGATTTTGTCGCGATAGGCTAACTGTCCTGACCTCATGCTCATTTTATCACCCTCCACTGGTTTGCGTCTGTTTGTTCTATTATCATTAATTAAAACAAACCACGGTCCAAGTAAGTTCGCGAGTTTTTTAGATACGAAAACAAAACAATGTTATTGTTTTGATAATAGGTTATAAAACTTGAATATACTAACTGTAACTTTAGTCACTAAATACAGCGGTTCTGGACCTACTGCTTCCACGTCTGGAGAACTTTTCATAATAGTCTTTACTCTTGATAAAGGCAGATGTAAATCCCTTTCAGCTTTCGGCATGGTCATCTTGATATAAAACTTGTTTAGTTTAGAGTATTTGAAAATTATTTATGAATGATTGATTAATAGACTATATTTTGATTTATATTATATAGTATTAAAGTATAAATTATATTAATACATTTGTTAGATAAAACAACAAAAAGACCGCCGGCAATAGCAACATAGGTATTTTTATAGATTTTTTTTTAATCTAATAGGCTTTGGCAAGTTCTTCATAGACAACATAGAACAAACTTCAAAAAACCATAGACTAATTAGAAAAAGTGTTGCTAGATGATGGTTTGGCAGTCCCCAATTTTTTTTCCAATAATCTCCCAAAATTCGGATTATGAAGAAAAATAAGAATAATATTTATAAGCAGTTCTTTTATAATCTCGATGCTACTTTTATAGGCCGCTTATTTTATAAGTTCTTAATTGTTTATGATCTGTGGGTTTGTAAACAATTGGATTCATAATGACCAAGGTGATTCAATAATCACGGGACTTTTTTTTGTTTTAGTTTAGAGAACTACTTATAAAAGAGATGCATACAGGAGCTCTGTATGCATTTCTTTTATAAGATACTACTGTTTGAAATTTTTTTATATTAGCTTTGGACAATTGACATATTTTATTAAGTATTATAAAATTGCTCAATAAGTATTTATTATGTATTAAGTAAATAAGTATTTATTCCTTAAGACAGCCCCATAACTTTTACAGTACTTCAATTTTCTTCACCCAATAAATTGACCCAAATTAAGAGGAATTTGTCGTATCTGGTATTACTAAACCATAGATTAGTATTTCTTTACTTTATTGGGCTTCAGCTGTAATAATGATTTTAAAAAGTAGGATTATGCACTGTCCGACTATTTAAACTATTACAATTACAAAATTAGTATGTAGGAATAAATAAGCTTATTTCAAATATCGATAACACGAAATAGTTTATGTAACATTGAAATAAATAGAAAAAAAAAGATATAATCTAAATTGAAATTATTTAGTACTTATTTATTATGTAAATACCATTAACTAAAATAATATACTTCACTATTTTTTCTTTATGTTGGTAAAGGTGAAGGTTTTAGAATAGTATGTTATCTGTGATGTTTAGCCCGGTAATTTTGAAGTTTTGATAACTTTATGTTTCTGTTATTATTAAGTAATTATTGCATTATAAGAAAACCCACTTTCCTCTACGCCTCATAACTAATTAGTGAAAATATATTATAAATCTTTGGTTTTGGGACGGAGACTGGTGATCCACTTTTTGCAGTGACTTCACTCCTTGTTAGTCTGTGTGGTCGACCAATAGGCGACCCTTGGTTACTGGTACTAAATTCTTAGCGAATTCGCCACGAGGGTTGACTGACACTACTTTAACCTCACCCTATCATCCTCCTCTGATGCACCACAAGGTTTTAGCTTCATATACTTCTATTAAAACCCGTGATTTCATTCTCATCCTTTATTTTATCCTGCCACGGCAAATATAGGTATTACTAGTAATGCTAATATAATAGAGAAAAAAATCTGTTATCTAGCTTCAAGTACAATTACAAATATTATAAAAATGAGTCGTCTAGTCTTCATTATTCGTGTACATTAGTAGGTATCTATTTACTGCAGAATGTAGGCTATCGTACTTATCTTAATTTAATTTGTTTTAAAAGTAGGTAGTACCATATTATGTTATCTGTGGTAGTACCTATAATTCTATCGATACTAACGTTATTAAGAGCATTCTAAATTATTTGAAAAGTAAAAAATAATTTTGAGATTTGAAGTTTGAAATAATCGAGACTGATAAATAATTATCTGTATATTGTAAAAAAAAATAAAAATAATTTAGATTGTAATCCTCACATCACTAGATGCCGCTATTATAGAATTACAACGAACTATACAACTTCCTGAAACAAAAATCTATTTTACAGATTATCTGAAAAAAGGTAAGTGAGAAAAGGTAGTATTTTGTGCTAAGCCCAAATAAAAGTACATAAAAAGTTTTTTAACTATTACTGTATAATATTTAACACGTTTATTCTAAATATTTACTTTTTAAGTTGATGAAGGTGACAATTACCTCCGTCACCGATGATATTTCTAGATAGCAATAGATAATGTATTTGCAACATGTACATTTTAAGCGATAAAGCAATTATTTTAGAGATGGGTTTGAAATAATAATCAGTTCTGGTCTTAACGCTAGGTGTCTTTATTTTCCATTTCCTTATAGAAAATACTTTTACGAAAAACAGTTATGTTGGGCCGCCCGCGTGCCCGGACGCCCTCGCGGGGCGTCACTGACTAGTCTCGCCGACCCGCCGAGTCCAATACTTACATGAAAATGATAAATAATACAAAAAATACTGATAGCGCGAGATCGAATAACATCTTACAGCGACTTCTCAATTTTGATCAGTTCAGCGATGCCGTCGTACATCTCCTTGACGGCCTCGTACTCAGTCAGACCCATGCGCCTCTTGTTGGAGATGTCGTAGACGCCGCCCTCAGCCTCGGTGTGCTCGCCGCGGGTGCCGCGCACCTGCAAGTGGTACTTGGACGCGACCTCCTCCAGCTTGGCCTTGTCCGCCGCCAGCTTGGGCAGCTTGATGTGTACCGACGCGCGCACAGTTGTGCCCAAGTTGGTGGGGCAGAAAGTGAGGAAACCGAGACGGTCATTGTGTGAGAATGGGATCCTCTTCTCAATGTCGTTGACGGCTGTCACCAACCTCTTGTAGACTTGCTTCAAGTCACCACCCATTTGCATGGAGATAAGACGAAGGTGGTCCTCTTCGTTGCACCAGACCAGGAAGGTCTTGTTTTCATTGTGGTAGATACCACGGCCGGTGGGCCAGAATCGGCAGGCATTGGCAGCCTGGAGGAAACGGTCACCCTCCTTGAACAAGAAGTGGTCATCGATCAGCTGTTGCTGAGTTTCCTTTGACATGCCAGTGAGGGGGAAGAATGTGCCCTTGAGTTCACCATCGAGGCCAGAGAGTGTGGAGGAGACTTTCTCTTCCATCTCTTTGTACTGGGCCTCAGTTAGACATGGGTTGAAAGGATAGCCTTCCAGGGAGCGTCCACAGCGCACACGGGTTGAGACAACGAATTCACCGGCCGGGTCCAGGTTGCCGAGGGTCTCAACATCACCCCAGTTCTTAGCGGGGTGCTGGTCGGTTTTCTTGAATCCATTGTGGTAGTCCTCAATGATGGGGTCGAAGAGGTCAGCAAACACAACATATGACTCGGCATCAGGGGCATAGATTCCAACACCAGAGTCCAAGTTCTCAACACCTGGAAAATAAATTAAAACAATTATATTAAAATGTTAATATTGTGTAAATATTTTACATCTACAGCACTAATTGCCAATTTATGTAATCCATTGCATAACAGATCTTTATCACAATTATTATAGCACTATCATTTTATGGGTAATATTATTTCACTATAAAAAATAATTATGTATTTAGTTATGTGTCTCATATATATTATTATATTTAATATAATCTGACATAAGATTTTAATAAATAAATTCACAAGTACTTAATAATTATTTTAAATCTAGTCGGTTGAGTGAACCCACCTGACTGGATAACATCCAACAGGGTTGAGCCAAAGGAGGTCTTCTTGTTCTTGAGGGCCTCGAAAACCTCCTTGGAGAGGTACTTCTTCAGCAGTGACTTGGAGTCGGAAGCCTGGAGTTTGCTAAAGCCAGCTTCCAATTTCTCGATTGTCGCGGCGTCCACCATTGCTGCGGCTTTTCTGTAAAAAAAAGAATCACGTCACTACCGGTATTGCTCCTTGCAGTTATTATTGTGGTAATAAAAAGGAATAAAGGACGATTCTAACGCTTTTAGAGCTGCACATGTTGCTCTTGTACACATATTGGATATAAATATTTTAACTTCAACGTCGAACCGAAATGTAAATTATTTGACACGAAATTAAACTAGAAAATAAGTGCGATAAAATTATTTGTTTATGTCAAACTAGTCAACGGATTTTTTTAATTTAAAAAAAATAGTGACGTACTCATTGTCTCTTGAATCGAGTGGCCACAATGAAAAACTTGTATATTAACCAAAAACTTTCAACTCTTCCATAATAATAACGAATTATATTTAGAAAAGTATTACGCATATAAGATTACATTAAATACGTGCAAGATTTTAAAGAAGTAGGTATATCAATAATAAATGTACCTACATTAAGGGTCATCGGTCATTTAAATAACTTTCAGTATGCACTTCTATTACAAAAAATTACAAACCTCCTGATGAGGTAATAGGCAAGAACGGCGCCACCGCAAACCACCACTGGAATTGTTACTTTAAGTTTATAATTCATTGCAATGAATTAACTAAAGCCACTGTATGATTGCGGATAGGATGTAACGACTATAGGTAAGGGAGGTGTTACGCGGACTATTGGACTTGGGAATTATTTTTCGAACACACCCAAGAATTCACTTGATTTTCTGGTGGAATTACGTAATTTAGCTAGAGGTCGCCTTGACCGACACGCGCAAGTCTAACGGATGTGTCAACTCACTGCGCACCAGTGCTGCTTCGTGGCGCGCAGCCGTGTACCTCCCACTTGAGTAGAATGAATGTGTTATCGTCAGTTTCTGGTTACCTATATGCATTCATTGGTGTACTTTAACAATTAAGCATCAGATTACGATATCTACTTATCGTTCCACGAATTATGTTGATTACGATTAGATATTTATGCGACAAATAATTAAAAATATAATGGAAATGGATTCTCGATCACCCTAAACGAAATCTTAATAATAAGAAAATTTTTACTTGATCTTGGAATTAATGCTTAATGATATCATTCAATATAGGATAAATTTATCCAACTGTGGGTGTGGTGCTAATATGTATATGTACATATTAGTCACATATCCAATCTGTCTTTTAAATATTACACATTGAATTTACTGTTCTCTGCTTGCAATATATGAAAAACAAATTTAAAATATAATTTAAGTATAGAAAATAACACAAGTACAAATATAATTGCTTTCACATTCTTATTGAGGTGGGTAGGGTAAAGTAATACTTTAAGTAGATATTCATTACACGATTATTGGTTTACACCTAAATATATTATTTGTCAATTGACGCGAATTAAGAGGAAAAATATGAGATGATAAAACATGTAATCGCTTAAAATAAAAGGTTTCAAAATTGCATTGAACCGAGCACTATAGTGAAATGCCGGTCGGACTCAAGTACGCACCCGTCGGCATCATCAGCCGGTTTATTTTCCTTGTTTTCTTTCGTTGCACAGCCACCCATTTTCACAAATATGATATATAAAACTAACCGCTAAAACATGCACTAAATCACGAAATCTACAGCAAATAAATAAAAGAAATGGAGAATCTAAATGCAATGATGGAATGATATTTTGTCTAAATGAATGTATCTCAGCCGGGAGTGGTGAGGGCGAGGGGTGGCTCGATCGATGCGCGACACGCAGCACGCACGCGGCTTTACGCTTCCCGCCCTTCGGGAACTGCTTCAAAACTTTTCGGAGGGAAACTTCCCTCAACAAAATCTACCGGTTACCTTCACAGGCGCCAATTAAAATAATCGGATCTTGTTGCACCAATATTTTTTAATACACTTGACGTTATCTTTACACATTTTGAAATACTCTAAATTATCACACAGTTAATACTTAACATGATGAATAAGAGACGATGACAAAGCGCGATGGCGGCGGATCTATTAGTCGGTACTTTGAGATTGGTATTAACCACCGCTTACCTGTCACTTGAACAACCGTTAGAGTCGACTGCGAGGTGCAGAATGGTCGCAGCGGGAGCGCGCAAAGCGTTAAGCCTGCGTCGTCCCCGCCCGCACCGCCGCCAGCCCTTCCTCAATATTCCTCTGTCCAACGGCCTTGCTGATGCTGGTTGGCATAACCAAATCTCCGCCAATCGTCAGTATCAATTGTGATTTTGATCTAGAGTATCTATTGCTACTTTACATTAAGATCAAGGACTGTTTGTACAACAAAATGTTTACAGTTGAAAAAGTAGTATTTATTACATTAAATTAATGGTTTCGGTATACAAAAAACAACACAGTTGATAACTATGTAGGTATACACGTAGTATTTGAGATTAATTACATGATTAATTAGTAATTGACACTTTTAACGAGAAAGTAAATAACCAAAGATTATCTATTCTAAATAATTCTTTTCATCATAAAAAAAAATCTTTAAAATTGTTTTAAATTATTGTAAAGAATAATCTAACATAGTGATACTTTATTCTGTTATACGTATTTTTCCTTTTTTTATTATTCTTCTTTATATATTATTTGTTATTAGTTGAATTGTAGCTCGTAATAACTTAAAGTTTCTATACATAAAGACATCTGATTCTTGCGACACAAGCCTTGAGCTTAGTGCAGGGCTTTGTTATGTGTAGCATTTTATTTGTATTTATGAAAGTAAAAATGTAAAAATGAATAATCACAGATAAGTAAATACGTAACAATAATAAAATAAAAACATTTTATCTGCTTCTAGCGAATTAAGAATATTTATTAAAAATCTTAGGCAATCAAAGGTTTGCCTAAGATTTTTTTATTGATTTATTATTGATTTGACAGTTAAATTAATACACTTTAATTACGTAATCGATTGATTATGTTTTTTTTATTGATGTCCCTACTTAGAATCCCTAGAGTTATCAACGTGTATGTGGTAAAATTTAAAATTAGATTGTTGCCGATTCTTTTTCGTGCCTGGATGGTCTCCAAGACGGCTTTAACATGAGCCATATCACTACGATGCCAATGTCAAGTTCGTTATTTTTCACTTTCGGTTACATAATATATTTTAAATTTTCCTATAAAATATAAGTTTGTGCTTTATAAACTATTCATTCATTAGATATTTTATGATTTCGTACGATTTAGATAATTGGCGGCAAATAAAATTGTAAACTTTTAAAGTTGTATATTTGTTTGATAGGAGCATTAATAGTGAAATTGGTAGTTCATTCTTATTGATTGTTTTTGTATTATGATATGGTTAAGTAACGACAAACAAAAAAAATTTTTTTAAGGTATCAAGTTATATGAATGAATATTATTTATATTGAGAGGTTATGGCTTAGTGCTTATTATCTTGAATTTAAAAGTCATGTGTTCGAATCGTGCCGACATAAAAACAGAATATACCTACTGTATCAAATTGTACATCTGAGTCGAAGGTGATGGAAACACCGATAACAAACTAATTTAATCTGAGAGACGGCGGTAAGCCAGTCCCATGTTATGTTGGCTTCAAATATACCCAAGCGGGGACAAGTGTTCACCACAATGGCTGCATTTGACAATGCCTCTGATTACCTTATCTACGATAAAAGTAATATTACTTTTATTACTTAGATAATATTATTTATATTCAAATAATAGAACAGAATAGAAAATTATTTATACAAATAAACTTAAGTTTAAGTACTATCGAATAGTCATATTTATTTTTTTATCTACCGCTTATTCTGAAAGATGTCCTATTACAAAAAGAACGAGCAAGAAATTCCGTGTGGCTCTTTTAAATAATTATTGTAACTTTACATTTTTAATTAAAATGTGTGAATATTAACCAACTAGCACTAATTGATTAGAGTCAAAATATTAAATACACAGTCATCTGGTTAAGTAACTAAATAGAATTAAATCAGTCGTAATGATTAGAGCTCACCGGTCCCTACAAGCAGCACTCGTTAATTAATTTATAGCCAAATTCGGATGTTTTATAATGCATGGACCCGCCTGCGCTAACGATTTACTCTGGCGGGGCACCAGTGGAGAATAGGATAAGCATGAGGTCAGGTCAGTTACTCCATGGTGGTAAATTCACCAGGAATTTAGTACGATGTTTTCCAGGGGGAACCGCGTGGAAGTCAACCTGACAAGAGCAATGGTGTCATCAGTCCACATTACTAACAATTCCCTTTCCCCAAAAATCAGATGTTTAATTTCAACGGGCTGTCGTTATATAACAGTCTGTGACCGTGCCCTTGTAGAATGTCCTTGACCTACAATTGTAGGTGGGGTAGCGAGCGGAGCGCACTCGTGACTCGGTTACTTTGAAACCATAAAAACAACCCTTTAATGGAGTTACGTAAGCTGTTTGTAGGTGTTACGACTTAGATCGCTCAGCTGTTTTTGTATATTTTCAGTACCTACTTGAACTGATCAGCTGTTCGCTGTGTAAACATTTTTTTATTTTAACCGATTTTAAAAGTAGAAGGTTATTGAGTGGTAACAGCAGGTAGACTTTGTGAAAAGGCCTTTGCGTGATTATCTCAGTGTCACCTATTTCAGCCGCCAAGCATCTTGTTTTGTAAGCTGTCGCTTGGGTGAGATTAAAGTCAGTGAAATTACAGAAGAAGAGGTTCATGAATAGCATTGCAAGAGTGGTATCACTATAGGCTCCATTTTCGCGAATGTGCTCAAGAACTGCACAACCTCATTCCTCCAGCACCGTTCCATCAACGTACAACAAGACGTAGAGAGCGGCTCCACCCATACACTATTGACATCCCAGCATGGGACTAGCTGGCGCTGTGTAAATTGTCTTTGGTAAAATAAAAATAAACATCACAAGTGTAACGGAAATCAATATGAATAGATCCAATTTCCTTAATAATTCCGTTAGTATAATATGATATACATAATTATGTTCCAACATATTCAGAATATTGTAAGTACCAGTAACTTCCCAGTATGTAGACAGGAAAAAACAAGTGTTAAAAGATATTCTATTCTTATCCATCTTACCTACTTCATACATTCAGTTCTATTAAGGAATATTTTTACAGAGTATGAAACAAAGTCCCCGCGCCGCCGCTGTCTCTTCTTTTATGTCAGTTACGCATTGGATTTTACTACGATTTTCAGCTATAGATAGAGTGATTCAAGAGGAACAATATATGTAACAACACATAGGTGTTATAGTATAGAAAGAATTCTAAAATTTGTAATACATCCGTGCGAAGCCAGGACGAGTCGGTAGTGTTGAATAAAACATTACTTCACTGTAAACGATTGCTTAGCAAATTGGTGTTAGTTGTTCAGGCATTGAAATATGGGAATTTACATGAAAAATAAAAAAAATACATTTATGCGGTCTCTGATTTCTGAGTTCTTATGTGTAGCACAAAATTTATTTTATTAATTTATTAATACAATGAATGATTTGGATTAGTCATGTATAATTTTTTTTATTTAGTCTTTTAGTTCTGAAATATGTATGCACAAATATTATTTTAGTATTAAGGCAAAAGAAAATTTCTTTTATTAATCTATTGGACTAGCCACCGGTGTTGGCAATCTCCAAAAAATAATTAGGTACCGTTGATATAAAAAATGATGATAACGCACTATTGTCTAACATGCGACCTTCCATGAAACGTGGGAAGTTTCTAGAAGACCTTGGCAATGACAGCGCTACTAGACCTTGGCAGCGCGCTGCTGAAGAGCGCATGAAAATAAATCGAATGCTTCGCCCGGGCCGTCAGGCGTCACGATTTTGACGTATTCGATACGTTGTTATTATTTGAAATGTTGAATGGTATTCTTTTAATGGACGAATGGACGCCAACGGTATATGCTGGTGAGGAACCAATAGAGAATGATAAGATGATAAGATGATAATGAAGCCAGGTCAGAGTTACAGAGAGAGAAAGAGAAATGTTGCTGTAAATGCCATATGCGACTGGTTAGGATTACTATTTTTTTGTAATAACTATCTTTGTCTAACGTCGCTGCCCGTGTACAATACAGCTATTGATGACGTTGATGGTCTAGGGGTTTAGCACACCGCCTTCCGATGGTCGCGTGTTCGATTCCTCGCACGACACAGACATATGTATTCATGAGTATTATTGTTTGTAGTGGTCTTGATGTTTTCTATGTATTTTCAAAAAATATATGGTATGTATTTATATCAATTGTCTAGTTGCCATTAACACAAGCTCTGCTTATCTTGTGACACGGCGTTCTGTGATTTGTCCTAAGATATTATTACTATTACTCGTTGACAGCCGAATGAATTTTTAAGATTGAGTAGTACATTTTCTGAGATTATAAATTATAAACATAGAAAGAAGCAATTTTTTATTCTTCATAATATTAGTATCGTTAAGGAAAATCATATGTTCACCACTAATTGGTGTAAGGTAGTTTTTGTACAAGTCTCTGCGAGCTATTTCAGCTGCCAAAGAGCTTGCTTTGTAGGCTATTTCGGTTGGAGTTTGAGGTATGATATTCACTATCATACCTCAAACTAGAGGGTACGGAAGCCTTAGTTTACCAAAATGGTAACGCATGAGGTCTTAGTATCATATGATAACGTGATATCCCTGATACTCCTATACATAATTAGAAGATGAGTTAGTGGCACTGACAACCACGGCACTATCAATCAGGGCCGTCAGTTTGTCTGCAATTCCATTTACGTAAAAAAAGGTCATTTAAAAATAAAAAATTGTTCCTCCTTTGCATGTACACGCGTAGAGTGTTATTGGGGCGTAAAGTGTTCCCAGACGGTCTCCCCGTGGCCTTGGCCTATTTTCGTCGGGGCCGCCCAATGTCAGATCAAAGCTGGTCAGGAACCTTGGCCTGCCTCATGGCTGTTCTGGATCACTGGCTTTTGGGTTTTAACAAACAGTTGTTACTGTTTAGTTACGTAATGTATCTATTAGATTTAAAAAAAATGGATATTGCAATTGTAAAGAAAATAATTTCATGGAATATTTATTGTGTTATAATATTCTTTATACATAGTGTTTTTATCTATTTGTTTATGGTTTTGTCAATGCATCCGTGTGCTTGCTTGCTCAGATGATAAAACT